GTGAATAGGATTAACTAATAAAAACAAACAAAGAAGATAAGTAAGTGTCAGGGACAGGGAGATGATGTACCGTGGTCGGGGACAGGGAGATGGTGTACCGTGGTGGGGGACAGGGAGATGGTGTACCGTGGTCGGGGACAGGGAGATGGTGTACCGTGGTCGGGGACAGGGATATGGTGTACCGTGGTCGGGGACAGGGAGATGGTGTAACGTGTCGGGGACAGGGAGATGGTGTACCGTGGTCGGGGACAGGGAGATGATGTACAGTGATCGGGGACAGGGAGATGGTGTACCGTGGTCGGGGACAGGGAGATTGTGTACCGTGGTCGGTCACAGGGACATAATGTAACGTGGTCGGGGACAGGGAGATGATGTAACGTGGTCGGGGACAGGGAGATGGTGTACCGTGGTCGGGGACAGGGAGATGGTGTACCGTGGTCGGGGACAGGGAGATGATGCAACGTGGTCGGTCACAGGGACATAATGTAACGTGGTCGGGGACAGGGAGATGGTGTACCGTGGTCGGGGACAGGGAGATGATGTACCGTGGTCGGGGACAGGGAGATGGTGTACCGTGGTCGGGGACAGGGAGATGATGCAACGTGGTCGGTCACAGGGACATAATGTAACGTGGTCGGGGACAGGGAGATGGTGTACCGTGGTCGGGGACAGGGAGATGGTGTACCGTGGTCGGGGACAGGGAGATGGTGTAACGTGGTCGGGGACAGGGAGATGGTGTACCGTGGTTGGGGACAGGGAGATGGTGTACCGTGGTCGGGGACAGGGAGATGGTGTACCGTGGTCGGGGACAGGGAGATGGTGTACCGTGGTCGGGGACAGGGAGATGGTGTACCGTGGTCGGGGACAGGGAGATGATGTACCGTGGTCGGGGACAGGGAGATGGTGTACCGTGGTTGGGGACAGGGAGATGGTGTACCGTGGTCGGGGACAGGGAGATGATGCAACGTGGTCGGTCACAGGGACATAATGTAACGTGGTCGGGGACAGGGAGATGGTGTACCGTGGTCGGGGACAGGGAGATGGTGTAACGTGGTCGGGGACAGGGAGATGATGTACCGTGGTCGGTCACAGGGACATAATGTAACGTGGTCGGTCACAGGGAGATGATGTACCGTGGTCGGGGACAGGGAGATGGTGTACCGTGGTTGGGGACAGGGAGATGGTGTACCGTGGTTGGGGACAGGGAGATGGTGTACCGTGGTCGGGGACAGGGAGATGATGCAACGTGGTCGGTCACAGGGACATAATGTAACGTGGTCGGTCACAGGGAGATGGTGTAACGTGGTCGGGGACAGGGAGATGGTGTAACGTGGTCGGGGACAGGGAGATGATGTACCGTGGTCGGGGACAGGGAGATGGTGTACCGTGGTCGGGGACAGGGAGATGGTGTACCGTGGTCGGGGACAGGGAGATGGTGTACCGTGGTCGGGGACAGGGAGATGATGTAACGTGGTCGGGGACAGGGAGATGGTGTACCGTGGTCGGGGATAGGGAGATGGTGTACCGTGGTCGGGGACAGGGAGATGATGTAACGTGGTCGGGGATAGGGAGATGGTGTACCGTGGTCGGGGACAGGGAGATGATGTAACGTGGTCGGGGAGAGGGAGATGATGTAACGTGGTCGGGGAGAGGGAGATGGTGTAACGTGGTCGGGGACAGGGAGATGGTGTACCGTGGTCGGGGACAGGGAGATGGTGTAACGTGGTCGGGGACAGGGAGATGGTGTAACGTGGTCGGGGACAGGGACATAATGTAACGTGGTCGGGGACAGGGAGATGATGTAACGTGGTCGGGGACAGGGAGATGGTGTACCGTGGTCGGGGACAGGGAGATGATGCAACGTGGTCGGTCACAGGGACATAATGTAACGTGGTCGGTCACAGGGAGATGGTGTACCGTGGTCGGGGACAGGGAGATGATGTACCGTGGTCGGTCACAGGGACATAATGTAACGTGGTCGGTCACAGGGACATAATGTAACGTGGTCGGGGACAGGGAGATGGTGTACCGTGGTCGGGGACAGGGAGATGATGTAACGTGGTCGGGGACAGGGAGATGGTGTACCGTGGTCGGGGACAGGGAGATGATGCAACGTGGTCGGTCACAGGGACATAATGTAACGTGGTCGGGGACAGGGAGATGGTGTACCGTGGTCGGGGACAGGGAGATGATGCAACGTGGTCGGTCACAGGGAGATGATGTACCGTGGTCGGGGACAGGGAGATGATGTAACGTGGTCGGTCACAGGGAGATGGTGTACCGTGGTCGGGGACAGGGAGATGGTGTAACGTAGTCGGGGACAGGGAGATGATGTAACGTGGTCGGGGACAGGGAGATGATGTACAGTGGTCGGGGACAGGGAGATGGTGTACCGTGGTCGGGGACAGGGAGATGGCGTAACGTGGTCGGGGACAGGGAGATGATGTAACGTGGTCGGGGACAGGGAGATGGTGTAACGTGGTCGGGGACAGGGAGATGATGTACCGTGGTCGGGGACAGGGAGATGATGTAACGTGGTCGGGGACAGGGAGATGGTGTACCGTGGTCGGGGACAGGGAGATGGTGTACCGTGGTCGGGGACAGGGAGATGGTGTACCGTGGTCGGGGACAGGGAGATGATGTACCGTGGTCGGGGACAGGGAGATGGTGTACCGTGGTCGGGGACAGGGAGATGGTGTACCGTGGTCGGGGACAGGGAGATGATGTAACGTAGTCGGGGACAGGGAGATGATGTAACCTGGTCGGGGACAGGGAGATGATGTAACGTGGTCGGGGACAGGGAGATGGTGTACCGTGGTGGGGGACAGGGAGATGATGCAACGTGGTCGGTCACAGGGAGATGGTGTACCGTGGTCGGGGACAGGGAGATGATGTAACGTAGTCGGTCACAGGGAGATGGTCTACCGTGGTCGGGGACAGGGAGATGATGCAACGTGGTCGGTCACAGGGAGATGGTGTACCGTGGTCGGGGACAGGGAGATGGTGTACCGTGGTCGGGGACAGGGAGATGATGTAACGTGGTCGGGGACAGGGAGATGATGTACCGTGGTCGGGGACAGGGAGATGATGTAACGTGGTCGGGGACAGGGAGATGATGTACAGTGGTCGGGGACAGGGAGATGGTGTACCGTGGTCGGGGACAGGGAGATGGTGTACCGTGGTCGGGGACAGGGAGATGATGTAACGTGGTCGGGGACAGGGAGATGATGTACAGTGGTCGGGGACAGGGAGATGGTGTACCGTGGTCGGGGACAGGGAGATGATGTACAGTGGTCGGGGACAGGGAGATGATGTACAGTGGTCGGGGACAGGGAGATGGTGTACCGTGGTCGGGGACAGGGAGATGATGTAACGTGGTCGGGGACAGGGAGATGGTGTACCGTGGTCGGGGACAGGGAGAGGATGTAACGTAGTCGGGGACAGGGAGATGATGTACCGTGGTCGGGGACAGGGAGATGATGCAACGTGGTCGGTCACAGGGAGATGGTGTACCGTGGTCGGGGACAGGGAGATGGTGTACCGTGGTCGGGGACAGGGAGATGGTGTACCGTGGTCGGGGACAGGGAGATGATGCAACGTGGTCGGTCACAGGGAGATGGTGTACCGTGGTCGGTCACAGGGAGATGGTGTACCGTGTCGGGGACAGGGAGATGATGTACCGTGGTCGGAGACAGGGAGATGATGTACCGTGGTCGGGGACAGGGAGATGGTGTACCGTGGTCGGGGACAGGGAGATGATGTACCGTGGTCGGAGACAGGGAGATGATGTAACGTGGTCGGGGAGACGTTACCCCATCTCCCTTTCCCCCATCACGGTACATCATGGCGCCCTACATGTGAGACACAGATCGGAGGACACATAGGAGTTGAGGCGCAGACCGGAAGACGCACTGGAGGTTAGACACAGATCGGAGGACGCACTGGAGGTGAGACACAGATCGAAGGACGCCCTACAGGTGAGACACAGATCGAAGGACGCCCTGCAGGTGAGACACAGATCGGAGGACGCACTGGAGGTGAGTTACAGATCGGAGGACGCCCTACAGGTGAGACAGACCGGAGGACACACTGAGGGTCAGGTACAGACTGAGGACGCCCTGGTGGTTAGGCACAGACCGGAAGACGCACTGGAGGTTTGGCACAGACCGGAGGACGCCCTAAATGTGGTACAGACCGGAGGACACATTGGAGGTTAGGCGCAGACCGGAAGACGCACTGGAGGTTAGGCGCAGACCGGAAGACGCAGTGGAGCTAAGGCACAGACCAGAGGACGCCTTACAGGCGAGACACAGATCGGAGGACACATAGGAGTTTAGAAGCGGAAGACGCACTGGAGGATAGGCACAGACCGCAGGACGCACTGGCGGTTAGACACAGAACGGAGGACGCACTGGAAGTGAGGCACAGACCGGAGGACGCCCTACAGGTGAGACAGACAGGAGGACGCACTGGTGGTTAGGCACAGACCGGAAGACGCACTGGAGGTTAGGCGCAGACCGGAAGACGCAGTGGAGGTTAGGCATAGACCAGAGGACGCTTTACAGGCGAGATAGACCGTAGGACGCCCTACATGTGGGACAGATCGGAGGAAACATTGGAGGTTAGGCGCAGACCGGAAGACGCACTGGAGGTTAGGCGCAGACCGGAAGACGCAGTGGAGCTAAGGCACAGACCAGAGGACGCCTTACAGGCGAGACACAGATCGGAGGACACATAGGAGTTTAGAAGCGGAAGACGCACTGGAGGATAGGCACAGACCGCAGGACGCACTGGCGGTTAGACACAGAACGGAGGACGCACTGGAAGTGAGGCACAGACCGGAGGACGCCCTACAGGTGAGACAGACAGGAGGACGCACTGGTGGTTAGGCACAGACCGGAAGACGCACTGGAGGTTAGGCGCAGACCGGAAGACGCAGTGGAGGTTAGGCACAGACCAGAGGACGCTTTACAGGCGAGACAGACCGTAGGACGCCCTACATGTGGGACAGATCGGAGGAAACATTGGAGGTTAGGCGCACAGACCGAAAGACGCACTGGGGGCAAGGCACAGACCGAAAGACGCACTGGGGGCAAGGCACAGACCGAAAGAAGCACTTGGGGCAAGGCACAGACCGAAAGACGCACTTGGGGCAAGGCGCAGATCGGATGACGCCCTACAGATCAGAGGATGCACTGGAGGTTAGACCACAGACTGGAGGACGCATTGGGAGCAAGGCACAGACAGCAGGACGCACTGGGGGCAAGGCACAGACCGGAACACGCACTGGGGGCAAGGCACAGATAAGAGGACGCACTGGGGGCAAGGCACAGGCCGGAGGACGAACTGGGGGCAAGGCACAGATAAGAGGACGCATTGGGGGCAAGGCACAGGCCGGAACACACACTTGGGGCAAGGCACAGGCCGGAGGACGCATTGGGGGCAAGGCAGAGACAGCAGGACGCACTGGGGGCAAAGTACAGACCGGAGGGCGCACTGGGGGCAAGGCACAGACAGCAGGACGCACTTTTGGGCAAGGCACAGACCGGGGGACGCATTGGGGGCAAGACACAGGCCGGAGGACGAACTGGGGGCAAGGCACAGACTGGAGGACGCATTGGGGGCAAGGCACAGACCGGAGGACGCATTGGGGGCAAGACACAGGCCGGAGGACGAACTGGGGGCAAGGCACAGATAAGAGGACGCATTGGGGGCAAGGCACAGGCCGGAACACGCACTTGGGGCAAGGCACAGACCGGAGGACGCATTGGGGGCAAGGCACAGACTGGAGGACGCATTGGGGGCAAGGCACAGGCCGGAGGACGAACTGGGGGCAAGGCACAGATAAGAGGACGCATTGGGGGCAAGGCAGAGACAGCAGGACGCACTGGGGGCAAAGTACAGACCGGAGGGCGCACTGGGGGCAAGGCACAGACAGCAGGACGCACTTTTGGGCAAGGCACAGACCGGGGGACGCATTGGGGGCAAGACACAGGCCGGAGGACGAACTGGGGGCAAGGCACAGACTGGAGGACGCATTGGGGGCAAGGCACAGACCGGAGGACGCATTGGGGGCAAGACACAGGCCGGAGGACGAACTGGGGGCAAGGCACAGATAAGAGGACGCATTGGGGGCAAGGCACAGGCCGGAACACGCACTTGGGGCAAGGCACAGGCCGGAACACGCACTTGGGGCAAGGCACAGGCCGGAGGACGAACTGGGGGCAAGGGACAGATAAGAGGACGCATTGGGGGCAAGGGACAGACCGCAGGACGCACTGGGGGCAAGGCATAGACTGGAGGACGCATTGGGGGCAAGGCACAGACCGAAAGACGCACTGAGGGCGAAGCACAGACTGGAGGACGCATTGGGGGCAAGGCACATACCGCAGGACGCATTTGGGGCAAGGCACAGACCGGAGGACGCATTTGAAGGGCAGGAAGGTGGATGATAAGCTCAGTTACTGAACTAACTCCGCACTCATACCCCAATCACACCAAACTAGTTCTCAATACGTTCGTGAAAATGTTGTCGAACGGGCTCCAACTATGTATGAACGAAGTCGACGTATTGACAGTCTTTTTACGAACTTCATGGACGGGCTCGGACGGGGAGGGTGCTCTAGAACTTTGAGTCTGCTCAAATTGTTTTCACGTCCATCCCGTTCTGCAATTGGTCGGATTGACAACGTACTTAACAGGAGAAAGACGCATTACGAACGGAATTGCCGTACTTCGAACCTACTAGGGACGTGTTACGACGTGGTGCAGTCCGACATAAATTGCAGTACGTGCGCACACCGACCGGGTCGACTTTTTTTGGAGGCATGATGTGTACGGAGCCCTGAACTTGAAAAAAGACTGGCTACAACGCGCTCGGTATCCATAGGAGTCGGGCCAAAACGGGCCAGGACGCGAATACACTCGCACTTGGGAAGAGATGAGGACGTACTGCCATCGAGTTGGTCGGGTAAAGAATCAGTTAGAACTGGCTTGGACGTATTGTGAACGAGGTAGAAAGAGGTTGAACTGGTTAAGAACGGGTTCAGAATGGCTGCGGACATGCTCGAACTGCTTCGAAACGTTGTCGGGGTGAGGTGAACGGGCACTTTTACACGATCTGAACTGGATACAAACGGACTGCAGACTGGCTAAGAACGAGATAAGAACGAGATAGACGTATTGAGGACTGCTTATGAACGAACTAGCATCGTATTTTACGCCAAACTACGCGTTCTACCGTGATCACAGCCCGTTCTAGTATTTTGTATAGAACGGGGTAGAACGGGATAGAACTACTTTGGTGTAATGGTAGCATTACCTTTCACGTAGGCGCATTTTCGTAATCCGGCATCCTTCTCAATTACCGTAGTTTGGACATATCTACATTAATGCCCACAAGAACTCGCACCACATGGCCAAACTGGGGAAATCAGATGTGTTTGAGTCCGGTCTATGGGGATTTTCATTAAGAAAGTAAAGAAAATGTTTCCAAAACTGAAATTACAATGCTTTGAAAACTGTTCTGTTGTAAACTTATGTCATATATGGCTGTAATGCGTTAAGTAAGTGGTACATTGTGTGGTGGGGCAGCACGTCTGGCTATGGCTGTAATGCGTTAGGTAAGTGGTACATTGTGTGGTGGGGCAGCACGTCTGGCTATGGCTGTAATGCGTTAAGTAAGTGGTACAGTGTGTGGTGGGGCAGCACGTCTGGCTATGGCTGTAATGCGTTAGGTAAGTGGTACATTGTGTGGTGATGCAGCACGTCTGGCTTTGGCTGTAATGCGTTAGGTAAGTGGTACATTGTGTGGTGGGGCAGCACGTCTGGCTATGGCTGTAATGCGTTAAGTAAGTGGTACATTGTGTGGTGGGGCAGCACGTCTGGCTATGGCTGTAAAGCGTTAGGTAAGTGGTACATTGTGTGGTGATGCAGCACGTCTGGCTATGGCTGTAAAGCGTTAGGTAAGTGGTACATTGTGTGGTGGGGCAGCACGTCTGGCTATGGCTGTAATGCGTTAGGTAAGTGGTACATTGTGTGGTGATGCAGCACGTCTGGCTATGGCTGTAATGCGTTAGGTAAGTGGTACATTGTGTGGTGGGGCAGCACGTCTGGCTATGGCTGTAATGCGTTAGGTAAGTGGTACATTGTGTGGTGGGGCAGCACGTCTGGCTATGGCTGTAATGCGTTAGGTAAGTGGTACATTGTGTGGTGATGCAGCACGTCTGGCTATGGCTGTAATGCGTTAGGTAAGTGGTACATTGTGTGGTGGGGCAGCACGTCTGGCTATGGCTGTAATGCGTTAAGTAAGTGGTACATTGTGTGGTGGGGCAGCACGTCTGGCTATGGCTGTAATGCGTTAAGTAAGTGGTACATTGTGTGGTGATGCAGCACGTCTGGCTATGGCTGTAATGCGTTAGGTAAGTGGTACATTGTGTGGTGGGGCAGCACGTCTGGCTATGGCTGTAATGCGTTAAGTAAGTGGTACATTGTGTGGTGATGCAGCACGTCTGGCTATGGCTGTAATGCGTTAGGTAAGTGGTACATTGTGTGGTGGGGCAGCACGTCTGGCTATGGCTGTAATGCGTTAAGTAAGTGGTACATTGTGTGGTGGGGCAGCACGTCTGGCTATGGCTGTAATGCGTTAAGTAAGTGGTACATTGTGTGGTGGGGCAGCACGTCTGGCTATGGCTGTAATGCGTTAGGTAAGTGGTACATTGTGTGGTGGGGCAGCACGTCAGGCTTTGGCTGTAATGCGTTATGTAAGTGGTACATTGTGTGGTGGGGCAGCACGTCAGGCTTTGGCTGTAATGCGTTAGGTAAGTGGTACATTGTGTGGTGATGCAGCACGTCTGGCTATGGCTGTAATGCGTTAGGTAAGTGGTACATTGTGTGGTGGGGCAGCACGTCAGGCTATGGCTGTAATGCGTTAAGTAAGTGGTACATTGTGTGGTGGGGCAGCACGTCTGGCTATGGCTGTAATGCGTTAAGTAAGTGGTACATTGTGTGGTGATGCAGCACGTCAGGCTTTGGCTGTAATGCGTTAGGTAAGTGGTACATTGTGTGGTTTGAGCAGCACGTCTGGCTATGGCTGTAATGCGTTAAGTAAGTGGTACATTGTGTGGTGGGGCAGCATGTCTGGCTATGGCTGTAATGCGTTAAGTAAGTGGTACATTGTGTGGTGATGCAGCACGTCAGGCTTTGGCTGTAATGCGTTAGGTAAGTGGTACATTGTGTGGTTTGAGCAGCACGTCTGGCTATGGCTGTAATGCGTTAAGTAAGTGGTACATTGTGTGGTGGGGCAGCACGTCTGGCTATGGCTGTAATGCGTTAAGTAAGTGGTACATTGTGTGGTGGGGCAGCACGTCAGGCTTTGGCTGTAATGCGTTAAGTAAGTGGTACATTGTGTGGTTTGGGCAGCACGTCTGGCTATGGCTGTAATGCGTTAAGTAAGTGGTACATTGTGTGGTGGGGCAGCACGTCTGGCTATGGCTGTAATGCGTTAGGTAAGTGGTACATTGTGTGGTGGGGCAGCACGTCTGGCTATGGCTGTAATGCGTTAGGTAAGTGGTACATTGTGTGGTTTGGGCAGCACGTCAGGCTATGGCTGTAATGCGTTAAGTAAGTGGTACATTGTGTGGTGATGCAGCACGTCTGGCTATGGCTGTAATGCGTTAGGTAAGTGGTACATTGTGTGGTGGGGCAGCACGTCAGGCTTTGGCTGTAATGCGTTAGGTAAGTGGTACATTGTGTGGTGGGGCAGCACGTCTGGCTATGGCTGTAATGCGTTAGGTAAGTGGTACATTGTGTGGTGGGGCAGCACGTCTGGCTATGGCTGTAATGCGTTAAGTAAGTGGTACATTGTGTGGTGGGGCAGCACGTCTGGCTATGGCTGTAATGCGTTAGGTAAGTGGTACATTGTGTGGTGGGGCAGCACGTCTGGCTATGGCTGTAATGCGTTAGGTAAGTGGTACATTGTGTGGTGGGGCAGCATGTCTGGCTATGGCTGTAATGCGTTAGGTAAGTGGTACATTGTGTGGTGATGCAGCATGTCTGGCTATGGCTGTAATGCGTTAGGTAAGTGGTACATTGTGTGGTGGGGCAGCACGTCTGGCTTTGGCTGTAATGCGTTAGGTAAGTGGTACATTGTGTGGTGGGGCAGCACGTCTGGCTATGGCTGTAATGCGTTAGGTAAGTGGTACATTGTGTGGTGGGGCAGCATGTCTGGCTATGGCTGTAATGCGTTAGGTAAGTGGTACATTGTGTGGTGATGCAGCATGTCTGGCTATGGCTGTAATGCGTTAGGTAAGTGGTACATTGTGTGGTGGGGCAGCACGTCTGGCTATGGCTGTAATGCGTTAGGTAAGTGGTACATTGTGTGGTGGGGCAGCACGTCTGGCTATGGCTGTAATGCGTTAGGTAAGTGGTACATTGTGTGGTGGGGCAGCATGTCTGGCTATGGCTGTAATGCGTTAGGTAAGTGGTACATTGTGTGGTGATGCAGCATGTCTGGCTATGGCTGTAATGCGTTAGGTAAGTGGTACATTGTGTGGTGGGGCAGCACGTCAGGCTTTGGCTGTAATGCGTTAGGTAAGTGGTACATTGTGTGGTGGGGCAGCACGTCTGGCTATGGCTGTAATGCGTTAAGTAAGTGGTACATTGTGTGGTGATGCAGCACGTCTGGCTATGGCTGTAATGCGTTAAGTAAGTGGTACATTGTGTGGTGGGGCAGCACGTCAGGCTTTGGCTGTAATGCGTTAGGTAAGTGGTACATTGTGTGGTGGGGCAGCACGTCTGGCCATGGCTGTAATGCGTTAAGTAAGTGGTACATTGTGTGGTGGGGCAGCACGTCTGGCTATGGCTGTAATGCGTTAGGTAAGTGGTACATTGTGTGGTGGGGCAGCACGTCTGGCTATGGCTGACCGCTTCTCTAACAACGCTGCTGGACACCCCGGCAACAGTAACACCTGTACCTATATTGTCTTTCCACATTACTCATGTTTACTACTATCTGTGTGTACAGCTGAACTCGGGCTGGTATATAAAGTTGTAAAATTCCAAATAAATACACACTAGCATTTCGTTGTGTTGTGTGGATACTAAACTGAATGAAACATGGATCTGAAACACGGGAGTAAGGTGACTTTTTTAATTGTCTATTTATTCAAAACGAAATTCTATCGGGTGGCGGGGATTGGGTTCTTCAGAATGACCTTGACATAACACCAGTCCCATGCTAGAATTTTGTATGGAGACTAGCGTTTTGTGGCCAGTGTGTACATGCGGCATGCAACT